GAAACATCCAACTTTATTGTTATAGTATTTTTAATTTTTTTTCCTTGAGTAAGACATGCTTTTGGAAATGGATTGCAAAAGAACAAATAACAAAATTGGCAAAGGCTATAAGCCTTTTACAGTCATCTGAACATGAAGAATAAGGTCTAATCAAATATGTGCATATTAGGTTAGCTTTTTCTCTACCTGTCCCCTGTTGTATGTTCTGAACCATCTCTTTTAATCACTCTTTTCGTCTCCTAGCTATGTCTTATTATTATAAAAAAATTCAATAAATGGAACATTCATATTTTATAGTTGAGGTTCACAGAATTATGACAACAGTATTTGAAAAGAAAAATAACAAAATGTTAAGCCTCATATACTTTTAGTTATACCACTAAGAGTCATTTCTGACTGAGAAAGATTTTTTAAATACCCCTTTAACAAATACATTTTGAACTATCCAATTATACAAAGTTTGCTACTTAGCTATTTAGATTTGGGGAGGTCGTGGTCACGGGTGGAGGGAAATTACAAAACTGTATTTTTTTTAAATCCAAAGAAACATCAATTTGCATTCCTAATTCACACAGTCTACTTGCCATTACAAGTCTTGCTGCTAAACAATGATTTTTAAACATTGTATATAAAATTAAATAACATGAAAAAATAAATATGCTTTATTACATAAACACATAGAAAGCTGTACTGCTCAAAATATTCAGATAACACTAGGCTTGGCTGCTTACAACGGCACTCAGAAAATCTGGTAGGGATATTTACAATCTTGATTTTTTTTCTGGAGACAGATATAGGGAGGTGATAAAAAACTGATGTCAGACATCTTTTCCTACTACCTACAGAAGCTGCAAACTTTAATATGAAAATGAGGTAGACACAAATTCATAAGTTGGCCAGGCAGAAACAAAAGCATAGTTTCTTGGTGAGCTCATAAATTCTCATTATTCGGGTCGACAAGCACAATTCCAAAACATCTAGAGCCAGCCTCAGAGAACACTTTCAGGCTTGTCGTAAAAACTCAAACGAGCAATTTCTCCTAAGGAGAATCCCAACCTCCAAGTTGATGACCAAGCAGTTACCCAGGGAAACACAGAAAGGCAGGCTACAGAGCCACTCGGGGCCTGTGCCATCACTTCACAGTGTTTTACTGGAATTTTCTAGATTCATTAGCTCAACGTTCTCAGTGCATCTCTCTAGTCATGGGGAGATGCATCTAGTACTCTGTCTGTACCTGGGACGGGCTGCAGAAGTTGACTGAAATTCACACTGAATTAAGAACCTTAGTTCAAAAGTAAATATCCCCTGAAGTCTTCATAAAACTAAACATCAATTTAGCACAACTAGTTAAAAAAAAGAACAAAAACACAAAAGTCTGCCATGATGGTTTCATGATCACGAGGCTCTTTTAAGAATGATCTCTTGAAACCGATCTTGAGGGATCAAACTGACAATAGTAACTCCAAAGACTAGACAGGAACTTTATGGGGCAATGAGTTTATGGTCATGGAGGAGGGACAATTCAGAAAAGGTGGGTGCGAAGGATAGCACAATTCAAAGACTGTCAACAACTTCACTGAGTTGTGCATGGAGAAACTATTGAATTGGTGTGTCTTCTGCTGTGTATAGTCTCACAATATCAAAACATATTAAAAAATAATAATAAAGCATTCCCCAAAGAAGCATTAACAATGCATTAAAAAGAACACAAGAAAGGATGAATAGGAGGATGCTCTTCACAAGCATGACTGGAAATCTACAAGGACTCGAGGCCGAACTAGGGGTAGAACACATGTACTTGAGGTCTAAGCTCAAAGAAGCGTCATTTTAGAGGCTCAGGAAGCCATGTTTAATTGCGAATGGAAATTTATTTTCTGAATTCTGCTCTTTGGCAACTAGTGTTGGATGAGCCTGTTTGCATCTTGACCTGGGAAAAAGTCTGTTCCACAGTGGCAGTTGCTTCTACACAGTGTCTACAGTGTGACCGTGTTTGGGAGAGAAAACCACCTGACAGGGGCACTAAAATGCTATTCTTGGTCTCGTAAAATATCAAATTTGCTTTCTTTCTACAGCAGCATGTTAGCACCTCACGCATAATTTTTTTTTTTTCCATTTACACTGTCAGTTAAAAAGATGGAGCACCAGAGAAGTGGTTTTATAGCTGTTAACACGATTCAATGAGGTATGTTTAGATTTGGAATTACTAACAGGTTGGACCACAACCCATAGACATCAACATACAATTCATCAAATCAAAATCCTACAGTAAGCATTAAAAAGACTGCCCTCTCACACATATATTTAGGATAAGTAGATTTTCAAATGCAGCTATTGAGATACAAAGTGTTAGAGCTGTTTTTTTTTCTTTAAATCAGAATTTTAAAACCTTGCAGAAGTAGCCCTACCCCCAGACTGCAGAAGTATTTAAATAAATATTCAAATAATTATCACTTTACAAAAGAAGCATTAAAATCACATCGGAAGTAAAAATATTTTAAGGTCTATGTGTTTGCTTCTGTGCAAAGCAGAAATTTCACATGTTTTCTCAAGTGCTTCAAAACTGTGTGCCAGCCCCAAGAAGGACAAGGAAATTAAATAAACTTATAGTCCTCACTTAAAATAAGAGGCAATTTCACATTATTAGATTTTAGCATTTAACCAAAACCCACCCACCGACAGGGAGTCAATTCAGACTCATAGCAACCCTGTATAGAGGCAGAGTATTAGAAATGCACCATAGGGTTTCCAAGGCTGTAAGAGCACACTCCCACATCTTTCTCTCCTGAAACAGCTGGTTGGTTTGAACCGCTGACCTTTTGGATAGTAGCTGAGTGCTTGAACCACTGCTCCAACAGGGATCCTTAAAATTAAAATTACTCTTTCTAAAGTATCTGTGAAGGAAGGGGGTTGTCTGTATACAAAATATGAGCTGTATTTAAAAGTGTTCAAGCAAGACAATGCTGTGGATATACAAACATATCCTTCCTCTGAGTACTATATTTTATAATTTTCTACGCTTATGTTTTCTCCCCATTTTCCCAAAGAAATCTTTCCAAGGGAGAAAAATATGGACTGATCAGTGAAATTAAGAGTCTAGAAAAGTAAAACATGGATTTCTTTGTTCACAAGATCACAGAAATCAGAACAAGAGGTTTGTCTCTGAGACCTGAGAAATGTTTCTTGCTAAAAAAAAAGAAAGAAAGACATTCTTTTGGGAGAGCTTGTAGACTTTTGCAAACTCCTAACTCTAGGTTTTGCTGTTGCTATGGCCTAAATTAAGAAGACGAAAATGGGCTCAAAAGGTAAAATTCCATGAAAAGCGATATGTAATACATGCCTTGGGGAAGTTGGGAATGTCCAAGGATTTCCCTCACATTCCAAGGTTATTTCTGATCTTCAAAAAGTTAAATTTTTGGTAGATGGGGTATGCCAGCATTGCTAACACAAAAGTCCTGGTGAATTACATATCTGACTCCACATATCATTTCTTAAACTCATAAATGAAACCCTGGCACAACTCATAAACAGTTCCAGTTGAGATAATACTCTAAATTTTTTTATATTTCTACTTATTCGAGGTACACAGCTAGTGTGATACCTGCAGAGACACACACATTACAAACCTTGGCTTTTAGATGCTACAACAGATATAGTCTCTCCAGTTAATTTGCTCTTTATCTGGTTTCAGATATGGTTAAGACCTTTGCACAGAATACCTGAATAAAAAGACTTCTGGGTCTGACTTAATAAAACACACCTAACTCCTCACGTATCAACTATTTCATTATCTGACATTAGACATTTATGACAAAAGTAAAAAAAAATCTACTCTCCAACTATTTTGTGCATTTACAATGCACATCTGGCAGTAAGGAATGTCAAGGTGCAAGGTAAGAATACAGCTGGTTATGATGGTTACGGTCATGTGGATTGAGCCATGATTCTAGTGCTATGTTATGATGTAATTTGGCAGTTCTAGAATGGTGCTAATTTAGTGTTATGTAATGACGCAGTAATCCTCCCTTTTGTGGTCTGATGTGGTCATCCTCCATTTTCACATAATGCCAATTTTCAAATAATAGCATGGTCTTTGGAATCAAGCTGTGTCGTAAAGTGAGGGACTGGTATAACATATTTGGGTTCAGTGCGATTAATGTATTTTAGGTGAACATTCACTCTATTTACATATAGTAGCTCGAGTGCCCCATAGCTTATGGCATAACTCGGCCACAGTATTATTCTGACTCAGCCAATGCTGCTCTTGTCAAGAGGTACACCAGAAGTTTGTATATTTGCAGTAGCAAACCTGTCTTAAAACACCAACTGCTAACTAAGCAGAGAGCAAAGAAAGCCAAGGATTATGGCAAAAATAATCTCAGATGGACTTTCTGTCTTAGAGGAGGAGAAAGAACCTTTCAGGCACCTTGAATGGCACCAGGTCAGCGATTCTACTGCTGGTCATTTTCACAATAATTTAACCCTTTGTGATAATTGTGTTGACAGCAGTATTCAATTCATATATCAGAAAAAGGCAAATCATAAAGGCACTGAAAGATAAATTACTTTTGCTTCAATAAGCAGTCATCTTCCTCCCAAAAGTTAAATCTACTACAGTTTAGAGACGGAAAGAATGCCTGCTATTGAGTTGTCTGTTGCAATTGCTTTGAAGCTTCATAGCTACATGAAATCATTATTTGGTGTCTTAAATATATATATAAATTTCCCCTGCCCCCAGTGTGCTAGGTAAGGAATCTACTTCTTAGAACCAGGCCCTGTATGAGGTACTCATATTTTGAAGTCATTTTGTGTAAAATTATAAGAAATGAATACTGTTGTGCACCAATATGAAGAAAACAACATACTCTTTCTAGCACAGTTTCAGGGATGCCCTTTGAGTAAGTAGGGTAAGTGTCTGTTGCAGAGAAATGGCCCAGAATATTTTAGATTTGCTATACTAGTTACATATGTTGGTCAACAATTATTAACAGTTAAGGCCGTACCGAACTCCAAGGGCCAGTACTCCAGGCAGCATCTTGAGGACAAGTATGAGTGTTACACTGCTCACGATCTGGAGGTTTGTCCAGAATTTCACAGCTTAAGTCTGGAAATCGTTCACCAGAAGGCCGCTGACAGACTACCAGTCTTGTTTGTATTCCTCCACCACAAAGCTTAGAACACTAGAAGACAGAAAATAAAGCAGCAGTTATTTTGTCTGAGTAGGCAATGCTAACTTTTCTACTTCTGTAAAGAAACTCTCCGAGCTAAACTCTGTTAGGGCATTGTGCAAGGTAAATCTCTGATGGAACTAACCACATTGAATTATCAAAGGTATTACAGAAATAACAAAACCAAATCTGTTTCCATCAAATTGATCTACCATCACTGTTTATTGAGCGCTTCCACCTTACCTGTAGTAGCGCTATACAAGATAAGCCACAAGGTTGGTGATTTGAGCCCACCAACCACTCTGCAGAAGGAGGATATAAGGCTTTTGGCTCCTGTAAAGATTTACAGACTCGAAACCCCATACAAGGTATCTATGAATAAGAACTGACGTCACAGTACCAACAACCACCACCACCTCCCCTGTGTCAAGCACTTTTATATTGTTGTTAAGTGCCAGGGAGTCAAATATAACTCACAGCATCCCAATACAGGATATCCGAGGAATGGCTGGTTGATTTCAATCATCAACCTTGCAGTTCAAGACAACACTGTAGTTAAGTGCTTATCCTATAGTGGCATACCAGACTCCTAAGTATGTATGTATGCATGTGTAGATATACATGTATATATATATGTGTGTGTGTGTGTATGTATGTGGACTCCTGGTGTGCACTGTAGGATCAGCACTGGACCATAAATTGCAAGGTTGGCAATTCAAACCCACCAGTGGCTCTTTGGAAACCCTATACAGGGTCGCTATGAGATAGAACAGCCTCAACAGCACTTAACAACAACAACATATATTATCTCATCTAGAAGAAGGTACGAGGGGGGCATCAAAAGGTCCTTGGAAAATTGCCATTATCTTTTATCTTCTAATGTCATCTTCCTACAATGAGGCAACTAAGGTTAAAAGAGATTAATTTATGTGATCTAGATTAATGCAACAGCAAGTGGATAAGATAAGATGAAGCAGCACTGATGGTATAGTTGTTAAAGTGCCCAGCTGCTAACTGCTAGCAGTTTGAACCCATCAGCCACTCTTTGGGAGAAAGATTTGGCCATCTGCTTCCATAAATATTATAGCCTTGGAAACCCTATGAGACAGTCCTACTCTATTCTATGTCTATAGGGTCGTTAGGAAAACTGACCTGCTAGCATCTAACAACAAGGTTGAGATGTTGTTTTTTTTTTAAGATTTTATTGTGAATTGAGTGATAGCTTACATGGAAGAACAGCCATTTTACACTCATCAATTCATTGCAATAATTGCAATCGAATGAAATTATTTTTGAGGTACACAGAATCAAAGAACTACCCAGTACCAAATGAAGAACATAATGACTTGGCTGGTTTTATTTTCTGGTGACTTCTAAGAAGAGTCACTAACCTTTGGTTATTTCATGGTTCTAACCTTCAAAGACCTTTGTGACGCTAAAATCTGTTGCACTATCTCCATGTCTTAGGATAACTAGGACTTTTTCTGCTAGGATGAATAAGCACTGTGGTGGGAACACCGGATAAAAAAAAAATCTGACTCTTGGCCAGATCCAAGTTTCCAAGGAGGAATAAGTTGTATTTCTTGGACGGTGCCACTGTGCTCACATCCAGGAACACTGAAATCTGCTTTCCCTGATGTGTCAAGGCCAGATCTCCCACAGAATTTGGAATGCTCTGGTCTGTGCTGACAGCAAGCATCCCAGTGAATGTGAGTACTCTGTAACGGGCTTGGGTCCAATTACAGAAGCTTAATCATGGCCCCACAGGACACAACTTTTCAGAAGAGTTTTGGGAAACCTACAATACACAAGTCCCTAAGTCTGACCCCACCCCTTTCCTTCTCTTCAGCAAAGCCCTCCAGAATGACATAACTGTCAAAGAAAGTCAACAAAACTCTCTGTTCTTATTGAGTATGACTACTTTGTTACGTGTCCGACATTGTGAAACTGATATGTGTATACATTCTTGTGGGCAGCCAAAAGTATGAACTGACAGGTCCATCAATCTCCTTTGTCCTTTCTCCGTCTTGGCACTGGGGCTGCCAAGATGCTAATCCTGTGTTTTAGTTTACAAATATTACAGTAAAAACAGACAGAACTGCTCAACATATTAAATATCTACTCTCCATGTGTATTCAAGAACAGAGACAGAGACTCCTGGTTAAACACAAAGCAATAAGCATCTAAACCCTATAAATAATAGAGGCTAAACGTATATATAATAATAATAGTAACATGAAAGATAATTACAATTACCATCATGAACAATCATTGATAACAATGTGATTACGAATCGGGCTGCGAACCTTAAGGTCAGCGGTTCGAAACTACCAGCTGCTCCGCGGGAGAAAGATGAGGCTTTCTACTCCCGTAAAGATTTACATCCTCGGAAACCCTGTACAGGGTCGCTATGGGTCGGAACCGACTCGATGGCACATAACAACAACAACAACAACAATAATTAATAGCTATTGAAGGCTATGTGCTAGGCGTTTGACATGCACTGTCTTATATCACAGTCATGAATACTAATTGATGTTGGGCTTATTGTCTTTCCCATTTACAGATGAGGATACAGAACTCTGACAAAGTTACATTCTTTTCCAAGGTTACAAAGCTTGTAAGAGCTAGGACTAGAAAAGTGACCTAGTTTCGTCTGCTCAAAATGCTATATTGCCCGACACCAGGAAAACTGTTTACAGCAGGTCGCTCTCAAAATAGTGAGGAATGAAGAATTTCATAATTTTAGAATATATGTAGAATTATTCAATTCTATAATGCAATAACAGTCTTTGAAAGGAATGTTGCTATTAAGCGTCATCGAGTTGGTGCTGACTCATAGCCACCCTGTATATGGTTTCAGAGGAGCAGCTGGTAGGTTTGATCCTCTGACCTTGTGGTTAGTAGTCCAGTGCTTCTTCTACAGAGTCACAGTAGGACCCCATTAGCAACACTGATTCAGGCTTCATCAGGACTTGGAACATAGAACCATAAAACCAGGGTGCATCACAAATAGTCCCAAACTATCAAGAAGACAGCAAGACTTACATGGGCTAGTTTAATATAAAATCATGTTCAAAGTTACTGCTTTTTAATGAGTTGTTGTTGTTATTAAGTGCTGTTGAGTCGTCTCTGACTCATAGCGACCCTGTATAGGGTCTCCAAGGAGCAGCTGGTGAGACTGAACCACCGACCTTGCAGTTCAAACTGACAATGCAGTCCAGCACACCAACCTGCAACGCCACAAGTGAAAAAAAAAATGAAATCAGCATTTATCCACATTCTTTCCAATGAAATGGATAAGCATTGTAGACTAAGCACTGGACTGCTAACCACAAAGTCAGTGGTTCAAGCACCACTCCAGTCTTTCCTTGAAAACTCTATACAGAGTCCCTGTGAGTTGGAACTGACTCAAAGTCACTTAACAACAATAAATGCACTTTAAAAATAATCCAAGATTAAGACACCTCATAGTTAAGTCAAGTGAAGAAATTTATACCACAACTAGTTCTTCTGCCTTATGATAAATTGTGAATGGTATTACACTTTGTTCAAAAAAATTATTCTGTGTTGTTTCCGAAGGAAGTACAAACGGTTAATTCACTCTCACCTCTCCCCAGTTGCCATAAGCCCATTGAGGACACGGGCCGGATTCACAGGCTCTTTGCTCATCGGGTTTGATTCTTTCCACGCAGTCATTTGCAGTGTATCCATTTTCATCCTGACACACGACCACACGCCTCTGGGACCCACCAGCACAGGTACTGGAACACTAAACACATCAGTCAACAAGTTAACCCCTCTTCAATCTCCAGCATGTTCAAGGTCAGAGACTAATGTGGCAGAAACTGTTGTCAAGTTGTCCAAAGTGGACAAAAACCAATCATGAGAACCTGAGAGCTTCCCTCCCCTGGGGTTGTTTCACGTATGGGTCTTTATAAATACCCAGAGGGGCAGAAATGTGGCTTCTCCTTCAGGCATGCTTCATTAAATCCTAGGTAGGTTAAACTCTTATCATGTGCAAAGCAATCACATTTACCGCCTCCTTTATCCTCTCTACATCTGAGAGTATTAGGGCACAGACTGATAACATGGTGAATTTGGACATCTTTTGCTTTTTCAAAACTCCAACTGTTTACTTAGAACCAATCTTTGCCTTCCCTTGCATTGCAGGGGTCAAATTATAGGCTTAATGACTTGCCAGTTATTGATATTAACCTGCTGTCCTAACTCACTCAATTACTCACCCAAGGAAAGTATCACGAATTGCATTTCGTCACACTTTTCTTGCAGGTCATATGCCTTTCTCTGCCTTTTCAATGAGCCTAAAGGAGCTCTGGTAGTGTAGTGGTTACGAATTGGGCTATGAACCACAAAGTCAGCAGTTCGAAACTACCAGCTGTTCCATGGGAGAAAGATGAGGCTCTCTGCTCCCGTAAAGATTTACAGCCTCGGAAACCCTGTACAGGGTCGCTCTGAGTCAGAACCGACTCCACGGCACTTAACAACAACAGCAACCACAACATGTGTCATTAACCATGGTAGTAAGATTCGTTTCATTGAATATTGTCACTTGCCCAATGAAAGGCATTGAATTCTACATTGACAAACCTCTCTTTGGACACACTTTCAGTCTAATACTCCCTCTCTCATGGCTGTCAGAGCTTAATGTTTGCATTTCAGCAGTTTCCCACACAAGCTTCTCATAGCTCTTTTATTTATCTACATCTTGAGCACTTTATTTCTTTTTCTTTACATAATTTCCTTATCTTTTTAGTACCCGATGTGTTTGCTAATATCCCTCACTCTGACCCTTAAACTATTAAGCCAGTCCGCATACAAAGTAACCATCTAGACCTCAAAGCAAGGTTGTTGTTGTTAGGTGCCATCAACTCAGTTTCATTCACAGACCCTGCATAGGGTTTCAGAGAAGCTACTATTGAATCTGAACTGCCAACCTTGTGTGGCTGAAACCAACCTTGCAGTTCAGCGCCTTAACCTGCAGCACCACACCAGGACTCTGAAAGCTAGGGAATACCCACCAATTATCAAGCCTCAAATCGTATTTGCAACAGTGTTAGTGCAAGGTTCGGATGTCTGCTATTCTATTTCATTTTAGCTGAAACCAGTGTAACCTCAAAAGACAGTCAGCGCTCTGTATGCAGAGGTTCTGTAGCACTGCATCAACCAACAGTGGATGGAAAATACTGGAGGGGGGTAGCAATCAAGTGGTCAAAGCAATCCCTCAAAGGCTAACATGGAATGTAAAGTGCTATTTACATACTATTCACATTGCCTTAGGTATTAGAAATCATCTACAGATGACTTACAGTGAGAGAGGACTTCAAAAAATTTTGTGGGAAAATTTCATTATCTCTAAATACCCTTTCCCCACAAACTTTTTGAAGGCAGCTAGTACCTGGAAGGATATGCATTACTATATATATAATGTTCAAGTCCCTTATATAAAATACTACACTATTTTATATAAGGGACTTGAGCCTTCCTGGGTTTTGGTATCCTCAGATTTTGTTATCTGTGGAGGGTCATGGAACTAATCCCCCATGGGTACCAAGGGCTGGTTGTACCCTCAAACACCACTTCTTGCTAATGTTTCTTCCACATCATGATGTGAAAACATTTTACTGCAGATTATGTTCAACTTCCCTGACTACTCTGATCAAATGGTGAGTGATTATACAGTTTTCTGTAGTTTTACTGTGGTTCCGTGTTTACGGAGTCTTGGTGTGGCACTGTGGAATAAAGCGCAGGACCACAGGGTTGGTTTGAACCACACGGTAGGCAGTTCAAGCTCACCTACTGCTATTTGGAAACCCTACACTGAGCTGCTATGAGACAAAACTGACTCCATAGCACTTAACAACAACAACAGTTGATATCTGAAAGACCTGGGTGGTACAAACGATTAATGCATTTGTCTAATATTATATAATAATGGCTGAAGACTCTAGTCCACCCTGAAGAAAGGAATGGTGGTCTACTTCAGAAATGCTACAGAACATATTTCCACTCGAAAGTCATAATTTTCAGTCCACTCAAGGGCAACTGGTACTGGAAGTTGGGATCCATACTATCATTTTGTATTAGGTTTCATTTTATAAACGTAGAGAAGGATTACAGAATTACTATTTCTGCCTGAGAAAACATTTAGGAGCATTTCTATTTACAAAGACTCTACCTCTATTTTCTGAAAGGTCGAGGTGTATTTACTCTGAACTTGAAAATACTTGTTTCTTATTTTTAAATATCTTAATATATAATAAAAAACACACAAAGAACTTCATTGTTTTCTTTAGCTTTGTTTGGGGACCAGACTTTGCTAGTCCATCTGAGTTTTGTTATCCTAATTAAATATACATACAACTTTTTGAGGGAAGGCACAATGTCCTAAATGTACCTCTTATGCTGATTTACGGCCTGATCCAATCACAGACCTTGGATGGAACAGCTCTATAACCCTCATGCTACCTTCCTTGGAGTCCTGGTGTGGCGCTGTGGGCTAAAGCACTGGACTGCAAGGTCGTTTGAGCCACATCATTGGTGGTTCAAGCTCACCAGCCATTCCTTGGAAACCCTACACAGGGTCAATATGGATCAGAATAGACTCAATGGCACACAACAACAACACCCTTCCTTGGACTGTAGTTGGTTAGTACAAGGGTGGAATGTAACCCAAGGACAACCAATCCACTGACTGCCCAGTGACCAGGCAGCTTTTGCTGAGAATCAAGAGACGAATGTTGGGCTCAGCTGGGGTCAAGCTATCAACCTGCATGGCCTTGAACTATCTGAAACCTGCTTGGGTCTTTGTATCCACATACACAGGTGAAGTATTATACATAATCTTTCTCCATGTCTGATCTGGGCATCGTGTGAGTAACAGGGGTTCTTAGTTCCATTCCCATATTACAGAATTTCACTCTGGAATTCTTTTATAAGAATATTCCTCTTTTCTTTACATGACAACATTTTCCTTGGTAAATATGTTTTGGAAGAGACACTGCACCTATTAACAAAATGTGGATGAGATTTTACATTCCTCTTGGACAAAGCAAAGGAGCATGGCCTTGTGACAGTAAGAAGTAGCAAACAATGAACAAACATTTTTCTTATTGGCTCAACATACTTCCCCTTATGCTTGCCAATATTAGTCCCATTTTCCTCTGAGGAGCTCTTCCTCCCCAATGGAAGATATCTGGGTGTACACTGTACAACCAAAGCTGCCCTACGGTGGACAAGTGGACCAAGCTGGGTCACTGATACTTTTCTGGAAATGTGAGTCATGAGCATAGTTAATTCCAAGGTGGAACAAAATTGGAAGGAATTCATTAACCAAAAAATGCCTAAAGAAAGCATCCTTTAGTTACTGCTCCATCCAGATCAGTTGTTGGCAAATCACAGCCCAAGGACCAAATTCTGCCTGCAGTCTGTTTTTGTTTAATAACAAACAAACAACTGGAAAATACTTGTGCCCCTTCGTTTGCATACAATATTGTCTTGACTGCTTTTGTGTTACAAGGACAGAGCAGAGTAGTTGCCAAGAAACACCCAATGGCTCACAAAGGCAAAAACATTTACCATAAGGTCCTTTCTAGAAAAAATGCTGACTCTTGATCTAGATGCCTGAAGGGGCTTTGGTCCCTCTCCTTGCTAGAACTAAACGGACAATTTTATTTGCTTGGGTTTCACTTTAAACGTCATTTTCTTTTGTTTATAACTGTTGTTGTCATCATTCCTGTTAAGTGCCGTAGAGTCGATCCTGACCCATAGCTACCCTGTATAGGCTTTTCAAGGAGCCAGTGGTGAGCTTGAACCACTGACCTTGCAGTTCAAACAACTTTGCAGTCTGATGGATTAGCCCACAGCACCACACCAGGACTCCTTTGTTTATAATTAGGAACGCTGAATTGTTACACATAAAATACGTCACCCAGGGTTTAAGTTTATGCACAGGGTGTGCACTGCACAAGGCAAAGGTGCACGTCCATTCTGCGTGCTCCTGTGCAGGTGTCCTGGGAGTAGGTGAGGTGCACCAAGCTAGGGCTAAAAAAAAAAACCATATACTTCAACTTCTTCATTTTTCATATATATGTATATATCCCTACATACATACACACACACAGAGAGAGACATATATATTATATATATATATATATATAAACCAAAACTAGGCATAATGAGTAAAAGATTGGTTTCACCCATTTGGTTTCATAATTGGTTTCACTACTACAAGAAAAAAAGGTTATTTAATCCGCTCAAATTAGGAACTGTGGCAGAGGGCAGAATCATTCAAATCATTCAATTTAAAAGGATTCTATCATCCCCAAATGTAGTCCCAAATAAGAATAGCTTTAATATTTTTTTTAATTCTAGCGCTATCATTAGAATTCACATGCATGAGTTTTAAATTTCAACCAGGAAAAACCATGAAACACTCAGTGATCATCTTCCTTAATCACCCTTTATTTTTTCAAAACTGAAATTTCTTTTAGCCCAGGGAAACTACGTTATGTGAGAAGAAGGAGATGACCAGGGCCCCGAGCAAATGGCAGATATTCTGCAGAGACCCAGCACTTGTAGTGTGTGAAAAGGCTGGGTGGTCAATCAGCATTCACAAGAGAGTAAATCTCATTTAATAAAACATAACCAAGATGGGAAAACAGACAGCTTCCTCCTAATGTTTCTTTTAGTCAAGAAATAATTAAACATAATTAGCAGTGCTAGAAGGACTAACCAATAGTACAAGGCTCAACAGAAGACACCCAACTGATCAGTAAACACCTACTGACGTAATGCCTAGCCAGGGTCCCTTGCTATCTCTGTATTTTTCAAGATTATATCAGTTTGAAGGCAATGATAAAATCCAAACTAAACCTACTGCCCTGGGTTAATTCTGACTCACAGAGACCTACAGGACAGAGAAAAATTGTTCCACAGGGTCATCATTAATCATTATGGAAGCCGGCTGTTAACATCTTTCTTCCACGGAGCGGCTGGTGGGTTTAAACTGCCAACCTTTGGTTAATTAGCAGCTCAACACTAAACCTAAGACATCACCAGGGCTCCTTGAAGGAAATGAGAGTGATGATAAAAAAGATAAGTACTGATACTGATTAAGTTCTGATTCTTTGTTACGCAGAATATCAAAGCACTTCACTTGCATCATCTCATTTAATTCTTACAACCACTCATGAAAGGAGGTGTTATAGTTACCCTCGTTTTACAGATGGGGAAATTGAGGCTCAAGGAGGAGTGTGATGTGGGTGAGGATTAAATCCAAGCACCTTCCCTAAGAGCCTGAGGAGGTAACCATTAGGTTCTGTGGTGCCTCTTTCCTGAGCACGGAGCTTACCTAGGCTAGTAATTCCCCTGACTCTGGGTCAATGATCTACCACTAAAAACTACCCAGCCACATTCCACTCTGAGCCTGCATTCAGCTGGAAAACCTCAAGCAGGAAAACTTTCCTTACACTCCTTTAAAGAAAAGTTCCTCGGTCCTCTTGATTTCCCTGAAGATATGAACGGACTGACATTTCAAGGATCAATCATCATTTCTGCTATGATACCTCCGACAAGAGTACCTAATCTAATCTAACAGCAGCGATACCTCCAGAAAATCAAAGCAGTTTACAGGGGCATGCAAAATACTCCACTATAATTCATTCCAAACAAATGACAACCTACAAAGTCAATCTCTTGTGACAAAAAGAAAAATGATACACAGGTGTTTCAAGTCTGTTCACCACCACCCCCACCACCCCCACCCCCGAAGCCTACCTCGAATGAAAGAGAAGAATAGAGAGGAGGAAAAGTTTTCAGTGTATACTCACTGCTCCCCACGGGCCAGTTCTCCACTGGTTCCCACCTAACACATGAGTGCGGCTGGGGCTAAAACTCCTGGGTCGATAATCCTCATTTTGGAAAGGGTGCTGAGCTAGTCCACTGTTTGGGGTGCGCTGAGGGCACGGAGCCATGGAACAGTCCTGGTCAGTTTCTGGGATGTAATCCAGGTCACACTCGCTCTGATTGATCACGTGGTCACTGTGGTTGACACACACCACCTGCCGGGTCGCTCTACCTTGCCCACAAGTCACGGAGCACTACATTGGACATACACACAGAGAAAGGGTTGGCGGTCATAAATTCATGACTGTGCATTTTCAGCAAATGTCCCAGATGATCAGGCCAATAAACATTGTTGTCATCCAGTTTCCTCTCTTTTCTTCCCACCCCACATCCAACTCATTAAGAAACAGCTTTGTTGTTGCTGTTTTTAGTTCCACTGAGTCACTTCTGACTCATAGCGACCTAGTATAGGGCTTCCAAGGAGTGAATGATGAGTGTGAAATACCTACTTAGCGGTTCAAATTGACATTACGTTCCTGTGCTTATCCTACAGCGCCACACCAGGCCTCCACAACGCCACACCAGGCCTCCTGTCAGCTCAGTTTCCAAAATAGATCCCCAAACCAGCTACTTCTCACCATCTTCACACCACATCCCTAGACTGAGCCATCACCTTCTCTTGCCAGTACTAATGCCTGAGCTTTTCAAGGAGCTCCTCCTTACCATCTTGCGTAGTCTAAGAATCATGAAAGACAGCACTTTTTAAAAAGAAAAAGACTGCATCATTCCCTGCAATGATTTTCTAATTCACAAAGAATAATGTTCAAAGTCCTTACCTCAATTTACTAGACCCTTTATCATGCGGCCACTGCCTAGGCCCTGTCACTCTCTCTTCACTGTGTTCCTGTCACTCTGGCCTTCTGGGTGTTTCTTTTTGTGGGTCAAACACACTCCTGTCTCAGAGTCTTTGTAATTGCTATACCTTTTGTTGATTCATGGTCATCCACATGTCTCCTTCTCTCACTTCATTCAGGTTTGACTCTGTCAGACTTTTCTGACTACCTTATCTAAAAATGCATCCCATCTTTTTTATGCCATTAGTCGACTTGACTTCTTTCTCGTACTTACCACTGCCTGCTGCTCTGAGGCTGTTGTTAAGTGCTTTGGAGTCGCACAGCGACCCTGTGTAGGCTTTCCAAGGATCAGCTGATGAGTTTGAACTACTGACCTTGTGGTCCAGTGCATTACCTCACAGTGCCACATCTGTTGTTATACTATGTGTGTATTATTTGCTCATTAAATGGATTCTCCTTCAGAATAATCTTTGAGAAGTTAGGGAATTTATTATTCATTGTGCACCGCTCTTTCTAACTACCTGGTAACTAGACAAACATCAGAAGGATGGATGGATGTCTAAATGTTCACTGCATGAGAAAGAATATCTCCCATTTACTGAGCACCTACTTTTTTGTACTAGACATAAAACATATAATCTCAAATAATCCTCACAACAATTTTATAAGATAGGTATTCTTTTTGCTGTTCTTTTAACAGTAGAGTAAATTAAGGCTCAAGGTCATGTAGTCAGTAAATATCAGGGTCTGGATTTTTACATGACTCTCTTAGACTCCACCTTTCAAAATGTACATATTTACTGAGCCATTAATATCCATCTTCCTTACTTCTTCACACCCATTCCAAGGCAGAAAGTGGAGGCTGAGTGAAGACTAAGGTTCTTGTACTTTGATAAAGGTCCTGGTCTACTTTAGTGGTGTTGAAGACCATCTCAGAAAACGGTGTGCAAGAGAGGGGAAATTAAACTGGAATAGGAAGAAGACAAAGGCTGATGAGTTCCAGAATGGACAAGAGCAAGGTATCAGCTCCAGCAGTGTCCAAAGAGCCTGGGAGGCCTCAGACATGAGTACTGTGTTTGGTTTGAGCAGAAACTGAACTCACAGCACCAGGTGAAGATTCCTACTTATTACTCTTACTTTGGAGTCCTGGTGTGGTGCTGTAGGATAAATACTGGACTGCAAGGTTGGTTTGAAGCATAATGTAGGTGACTCAAACTCACTCACTGCTCCTCAGAAACCCTGTACAGGAACTCTATGACTCAGAACTGACTCAGCTCCACTTAACAACAACACTCTTTCTTCAAGGAAGCCAAGAGCGATCACTTGAACACAATTCCATAGAGTAGACTGTGACTCACAGTGACCCTATATGACAGAACAGAAGTGCTCCATGGGGCTTCCTAGAGCGTAAATCTTTATAGGAGCAGACAGGCTCATCTTTCCCAAGAAGAATGGCTGGAGGGTTTGAACTGTAGCCTAACACTCACCCCACTGCGTCACCAGGATTCTTTCAAGGGCTCACAGGAACTTGGAATATATTACTGTAAGTGCATGCACTTTCAAGATGGGAAGCCAATGCCCAACATGCTGCCACTTTTGGGACTCTCCAAATCTTCAATAAGGAGCTCTGGTAGCGTAGTGGTTATGAATTGGGCTGCGAACTGCAAGGTCAGCAGTTCGAAACTACCAGCTGTTCCACAGGAGCTGTTCTGCTCTGGTAAAGATTTACAGCCTTGGAAACCCTGTACAGGGTCGCTATGAGTCGGAACTGTCTTCACGGCACACAGCCACCACCAAACCTTCAATATTCTGACACCATGCAAAACTGGAATTTCTAATCAGCCCCACAGGATTGGGGGGCAGGGGGCGGGCGCAGGAAGGGAGACTCAGGTAGATTGTAAGATGGTGTACAGACTTCTTCAGCATTCTTTGCATACCTAACTAAAATTCATACCAGTTGCCCATATATAGAACAGAATAATCTCGATCACAATCCAAGCACAGCTCTAAAAATTATCCATTGATTTCTGCAAACCCCCACAGTACATTCTCAACAATCCCTCAAATCCCCTTCCAATTCCACAGAATACCCTCGCTTACAGAGCTCCAGTCCAAAGCCTTCCATTGCCCACAGGGAGTCACGGAACATTCCTCCTTTGACAATGGTCTATGCTGGGCTACACAGGTACTTTCATCAGCCACAGAGCCATCCTCATCCCGGCAGCTCACATATCTCATCCGGGTCCCTTTTCCACAAGTGGCTGAGCACTGGGACATCAAAGTAAAGTAATGCAGATATAGTATCAGAAATTATTAAATAATGGATGGTAACCCAGTTTCTAGAGTCATGTCAAAGATCGTCTGCCTCCCCTTCCCTCCCTCTCCACATCTTCCATTCTAGTTCTTACTGGAGTCCAAGACCCAAATCGCCACTGGGTTCTTGGTACACTGTGTATGTTTCTCCCTGCTTCCGGGGCAGCTGGGGGTGGATGACAAGATGGTAATTCACAGTCCTAGATGTGAGAAGAACGGGGAAAAAGTCAAAGTTACCTTCAAGTCAACATACATTTCAGTGGTCAGGGTGCATTCAATGATAAGGGCTAAGAATTTTAAGAGAGGATCTCTGGTATCTGTGTGATTTGGGACAACTCATATGAATTCTCTCAGCTCCAATTTCTTCAACTTTAAAATCGGATATAATGTGAGACATTTTATGAGAGTCTTGATTCAGGGCAAATGTCTATTTACTAAATTCTGAAATTATTATTCTCTATCTACCTGCTCTTGCAGAAAGACACAAAAAAATACTGGCAAATTCCATGTAAATTGATAAAAAGTAGTCTATCATTTAAAAACTGTTAATTTTTCTAAATCCTGGAGGTCAACTTCTCTTCTTACATTTCAATTACTTTTCAATTTGGATTTTGTTCATCATGAACTTGTGTTCCACATTTACCTAAAGATAACTCCTGAGACCCTGAAGGTGAAATGTTGACATAAAAGTTATATTCAATCTACTAATGCCTGGAATTTATGCAACATCTTTCAATCACCCAGAAGATACCCTTATAATGAATGGTGGTCACTCGTGTGTAGATAATCTTCCTATATTTACAGATGGGAAAACGAAAGTACATATCTGCTCACAGTCACTGCCACCTTAGTGGTTAGCAAATATTCTATGATTTAATGCATATTCATCAGATGCCTACAATGTGCCAGGCACAGTGTGAACATTCCTCCTTTGACAACAGTCTAGGCAGGGATGCACAGGTATTCTCCTCAGCCACAGAACTGTCCTCATCCCGACATCTGCTAGGGCTCAGAACTGAATGAGACTGATGAATCCTAGCTTCATGGAATTTACACAATGAACCAGAAATTTGATTACATGGCAACAGACCTTGCTTAATCCTCTACCTATGATCCCCAAAAAAGATTATGGAGAATTTTTCACAAAGTAAGGAAATGATTCCCACAGTACAGGCAGGGGTGCTAACCCTATAGTCAAAGGGATAACTAACTCTTCAATCTATGACTGATCTAATTGTACTAGTTAATATTTCCAAGGCACCTGTCAAAGTGTGCTGTAGAACATTTTAATAGAATAATAAAAATAAAGATCATAAAAGTTCAATGTGTGCTATTCACAATGTAAGAGCTCTGACAGCGTAGTGGTTATGAGTTGGGTTGCTAATCTTAAGGTCAGCAGTTTGAAACTACCAGCTGTTCCATGGGAGAAAGATGAGGCTTTCTGCTTCAGTAAAGATTTATAGCCTCAGAAACCCTGTACAGGGTCTCTATGAGTAGGAACTGACTCCATGACACATAACCACCACCATTCACAATATAACAGCAATAGATACAACGTTCTTTTACATTTAATAAGCATTTGTAACATTTTATTCATCATTTCTTTAGACTTTGATAATCAACAACAATAACAACAACAAATTAGGCCCTGAATTGTAGCATTTTCCTGCTTGAACCTACCATGGTGGATTTCAAGCTACCAACCTGACATCAAAGAACACAGATTTGAGAAGAGATGCACAGTACCACTCTGTTATATGATATTCTCACCATACAGATGCAATACGCATAAATAGCCCCAAGAGAATAAGTAGCAGCAAGACGTAATCAAATCATAAGAAAATGATGCAGTTTTAGCATCTATCCTCTTCATCTAGGTTTCTTGGTATGCTGCTGCGGGTTAATGCACTAGACTACAAGGTCAGTTTAAACTGCAAGGTCAGTGGTTCAAGCTCACTAGCTGCTCTTCAGAACCCCTATGGAGGGTTGCTATGAGTCAAAACTGACTCGATGGCACTTAACAACAACAATCTTTGTTTATAGTATCATTTCTCTAATTAAAGGTTTACATATTTCTTTCTTAATAATGGCTTGTATAACAACCAGCTTGCATAACTCCTGAGAATTTACCAGTCAGCTTTTGTAAACTAGGATACACTGGCTCTTAATACACCACTGCTTGAATATATTATACTTGTTACTAAATCTCCAAGATGAAATCCTTTAAAAAAAACAACCACCTGATTTTGAGAAAACAAACCCCAAAACGAACGTTTGAGCTCTTACAAGTATTTGATTAAAATCTACATATATTTAAAAAATCAGAGAAAATAAAATGGATAAATCAAAATATTAGATTCTAAATAAAATGAGTAAGTAAATTCAGACAGCTTTGCTCATCAACTATTTATCCTACCTACATAGGTATCAGTAAAAAGACTTTAGGTTGACCAAACCTCTAACAAATTTTGGCATCTTAAGAGCCCAAGCCAGTAGCTGAATTGGGTAAGGGAGACTTACCTGGGTGTCAGTAGGTCTAGTTGCCGCATTACAGGCATTGTCATTTACCATTGACATGTAAGTCCCAATGGTACATGTCACAACTCTTAGCTGGTATCCCTGTCCACAGGTGACACTGCACTGGGAGAACAAAATCAAACAAAAAGGCTATAAATTCAGCAACTCTTCTCTTTTCTTTAGTGTCCCCATAACATTTTCACAATAGGCCAGAGGGTTGGCACCTAAAGAAATTTAATAAAAGTGGAAAATCTTGCTCTCTAAAAATTACACTGATCAATGATCAAGAAGGATGGCATTACAAATGATTTCTGCCTCTCAATGCAATGGTATTTGCAAAGGTTCAACCCCATGACTGTTACCCCCTGGGGAGAAAGGGAGTGTATCTTCATCATTTTTGCAACTTTCACACAATACTTAGCAAAATGTCACAGCTAAACTAGGTACTGAATAGAGGTTGGTAACCTGATACAACATCTGGGAGATTATCGGGAGGAAAGATAATCTTTTTGCATAGAGAATTTTGTACAAGGATGCTTGTTGCAATACTACTGATATAGGGTAAAACATTGGAAACCACCTAAGTGTACAGCAACCAAGAACTGGTGAAATACATCATCGCATGCAGGTAAAACAGAAAGGAACATAGCTACCAAAAGACATACCATTAGATATACAGAACAGTTCAAACCAATAGGCAGAAGAAGTGATGTCACAGAAATGACGTTCCAAGAATTAGTTCTTGCAACAATCCAACTGAAAAAACTGACACATCCCACTTTTTCAGAATTCTGAAATCTAATAAAACTTTACAGCAACCCGGGGGATATTTAGTGAATAGAAAGCCTGGTAAATGTCAGTATGAGAGTGCTGTGGTGTTTTTGTATCATAGTATTCTCTTATAATCCTGCTGACGGGTTGGAAAACTTAATAATGTTAAAATGACAATACTGCCTGAAGTCTACAGATGCCACAGAATCCCTATTAAATCCTCAATTGTCTTTTTTTTTTTTTTTTGCTGAAATGAAAAGGTTCAGCCTCAAATTCATACGGAATTGCAAGGAGCTCTCAATAGTTAAAAACAAAGTTGCAAGGATCCCACTTCCCAATTTAAACACTTACTACAAAGCCACAGCAATCAAACAGAGTGGCACTGGACAAAGGACAGACATTCTGGCCAATGGTATAGAATTGCAAGTCCAGAATAAACGCATAGATCTATGGCTAATTTATTTCAACAGTAATGTGAAGACCATCCAAAGGATCAACAAACAATGCTGGGAAAACAGGATTTCCACCTGCAACAGAATGAAGTTGGGCTCCTATCTCATATTGCACACAAATACAATAATCAAAATTGATAAATAGCTTAAGTATAAGAGCTAAAACTTTAAAATTCTTACAAAAACATAAAAACAAAAAAAACCCAGAATAAATTTCATGGCCTTGGATTTGGCAACAAAGGTTTAAATTTACCATCAAAAACACAAGCAGTCAAAAAAAAAAAAAAATTGATAAATTGGACTTCATTAAAAAAAAAAAACCTGTGCAACAAAGGAAACTATGAAAAAGATGACCACAAAATGGAATAAAATATTTGTAAATGATATATGATATATATGATACACATCTAGTATCTAGAATATATAAAGATATCTTACAATTCTACTATACAGAGAGAGAGAAAAAAAAGACCAATTTAAAAATGGGCACGGAGGACAGCAAACAAGATGGTGGATAGGGTGGAAGTCTAGTGAGGAGTTTCATCAACAACAACACAGACTACTGGACCAAGCAGGCTCAGGGGATGGTCCCAGAACTCTGAACCACTTAAGTAATATTTAGAAAGCTGGAAGGCTTACAACCAATGGAATTTGTAGCAGAAGCAAGAGATCCAGTGCTTTCTAATCCAAGGTGCTCAGCTGCTCCCTGAGCGGCCATCTTGGGCGAGACCAAACCAGGGAAGGATCAGAGCAGTCATGGATGCCTGAGAGAATCACGCAGATAAAGGAAGAAGAGTGAAAAGGGAAGCCCATCTCCTGATCACATCTACCTGGAGGCAATCAGAAAACATAAAAAATACCAAAACACACACCCATCTAAGTTTTAAGGCCACAGCGAATCACTAAATATGCCCAAAAAACAAAAACAGATGACTATATCAGCACATGTCCAGAAACAAGATAATGTGACTGAGACAAATGAGCTGGAGGTAGACCTACACTCCATACTGGAAGGAGGGCAGGCTTTGGAAATGCCTGAGAAGGAATTCAGAAAAATGATTATAAAATGCATCAAAACACTTTACAATGGAGTTGAGAAAAATAAGGAAGAAGTCAGGAAAGCGCTACAGGAACAATCAAATAAGATAGATACAGCATTGGAAACAATTCAAAACCTACAGAAAGAGATCCAAATGATTAAAAATAGAATATCAGAAATGGACAATACACTGAAAGGCCAAAGGAGTAGAACTGAAGAGATGGAAGCCAAAACTAGTGAGCTGGAAGATAAATCTCTCAATACCACTAAGATAGAAGAACAAACAGAAAAAAAAGATTAAAAAACCTGGAACTTCTGGAAGAAAATTTCCCTAACATCATGAAAAGCAAAAAGATAAGCATCTAAGAAGCGGAACACCAGGCAGGATAGATCCTAAAAGAAAAACATTAAGACATATGTTTTCCAAAATCAAAGATAAGGAGAGAATCCTGAAGGCAGCTAGGGAAAAGAGAAGTGTAACATACAAAGGTAAGCAAATCAGACTAAGCTCAGATTTCTCAACAGAAATCATGCAGGCAAGAAGGCAATGGGGAGACGTATACAAAATCCTGAAAGAAAAAAACCTGCTGATCAAGAATCCTCTACCCAGCAAAGCTGTCAATACGATGGTGTAATCAAAACATTCAAGGATAAACAGGAACGAAGGGATTTTGCCAATGCCAACCCTGTGATGAAAAACATCCTAAAGGGAGTCCTGTGGAGAGAGAACCAACAAGAACAAACAACCAAAGATTGATGTATGTGGCAGCATCACCCGGAAGTCAATCAACAAATGGAAGAGTTGAGAACAGAATAAAACTATAAGAACAAACACAGAGAATCTGGAAGGTCAGTCTATGATCAAAACATTTACAATGTGAAAGAAGGTAAACACAGAGGAATAGAGATCTAGGTGGTGGGAAGGTCAGGTAAATTACAGGGTAAAACAGACTGTCTTAAATGGAGGGAAAAGTTAAAGGAATATAAAGTAATCAAAAGGGTGGGGTTGAGGTTGGGGATTTTGGGGGAGGTAGAGGGAAGGGAACGGTAGAGCACATCATAGTTCGGGTGTTGGGGAGGGCAATACAAGAAGGGCAAGGAGGTGAAAAAACAAGTAGACAGGGGAACACTGAGACAGGTTTGCATGGGCTAAGGGGGACAGAGGTAAATAGTGATGCATGCTCAACCTTGGAACAACAGGGCTCTGTGATACAGGGAACTAGGCATAGTTTGAAGAGGGGAAAAAATACTAAGATGCTTGACTGTCTTATTAATATTGGTTTCGCTTGCCTACTAATGTAAAATAGACACTTGAGTGGGATAGAAAGGAATGTCAGGAAACATGATTACAGAAAACTTGTAAGCCTGTCTTCAGCCTATACCTGACTGGAATACCATAAAGGGGTTCTAGAACTTGCCCAGTGAAATAGGCCTCTTGCGGAACCTTTGCAGAATATAGGACATTAGGTGGAATCCTGAATCCTATCCAGAACCTTCTGAGGTGGGACATTTTCACTAGAAAGGACAGGCAGACTAACCTGGAACAGCTACAGTGACAGAAGATGCATCCTTAAAGAAAGATCATCAGGAAAAACCCAAAACAAAAATGTCAGTATGACAGGCTACTGCAAGAAAAAGGAAGCTGTTTGCCAAGAAGCCATCAAGGCACACAAACAAGTTCCCTCAGGATAAACCCCCCTCTAAGAATGAAAATCATAGGGAACACATGAGCAGGCATCTAAGCATGCTGATGACCACACTGATATACTGGTGAGTGGAAGAGGGGGAAAGGCAGCAATGAAGAAATGGGCTGAGTTCAACCATGGTCCATTTACTCCTGTTGACCTGGAGATGACAGAGAGATGAGAAAGGGCTGGTTTGTCCAAAGTGTGGTGAGAACTGGGGACACCTGAACCCACGAACAAGGACATAGCACAGAGGCCTAGAGGTGAGAGTGAAGCATCCAGCTGATATGAAGTGAGGGGAGATGCACAAGAATGCCCAAACTTGGAGACAGTACCCATTTGACCTAGCCTAGATGGCTTCATAATCAGAACTCGACTAGCGGAAGATAAAAAACAACAACAATTTTTGATACAGGAAACAAGGGTAAAGTGCTACAATTTGATGAATCGGACCTATACTTATGGAGGTATTAACTCTAAATACCAACAGAGAGGGAAGGAGTCTTCACATTAAATATCAGTGCTATCCCCTCTGTACACAGGGTATATAGGGATGGGCAACTTAGACATTGGCTACCTAAAATGAGGGAGTGATAAAGGCACAAAGTGACTATCTTACAAGGTTTCAAGTGGAAGTTTTTAATTTAAGAGTATGTGGGGGAAGAAAATGTCCCCACTGAATAGTTTTCATTTTGTCTGGTTAAAAGAGATGGCGGTAGGATTCTTATGATGCAGTAGTGAGTAAGTGTTATCATGACTAATTGTGACTGTCACAATTGTAAAGGTAGAAGTTTTGTTAACAGAAACAGGGTAGCAGTTAATTTTACAGTCTAGAAACAAAGGATCCTAGGACCATCAAAGGAGAAGAGTACAAGCGGAATGCGGGACCTTATGCAGAGAAGCAGCCACATCAGAGATGGCGGAAGAGATGGGGACATGGAGAAAGGGAGTGGCTGAGGACTCTAGATTCATGGGAAAAGAGGGACTAAGAGATGGTGGCCATGAGGCAGACTTGAAGAATGTGCCCTTTGGTGGTATATATGCCTGAGTGTTTTGTTTTGTTTTTTTAAAAAGAGCTAAAGTGAATAGAGAGAAATACTGTTAACTGATACATGGAGGGGAACATAATCATTGTGATGAAACAAACTGCATGATTTATTGAATGTAAAACTATGACCTGCCCTGTAAACTTTCACTCAGTCCACAATAAAAACTGAAAGGAATAAAAAAAATGCACAAGGGAGTTGAACAGACATTTCTCCGAAGGATATATAAAATAGTCAACAAGCACATGAAGAGATGCGCAGCATAGTCACTGTAGTGTCCTGCCAAGTCAATTGTAACTCAGAGTGACCCTGTATGACAATGTAGAAGCCCTATCAAGTTTTCTATGCTGTCAACCTTTAGAAGAGCAGATCCCCTGGCCTTTTCTTCGACCGAGATGACTGGGAGGTTTGAGCCACAAACCTTGTGGTATACAGCTGAGCACTTAAACATCATACCAACAGGACTACTCATTTAGTCATTAGTAGAAATTCAAATCGAAACCACAATGAGATGTCACTTCATTACCTATTAAGACAGCTATTATAAAAATGACAAAAAAAGAAAAATAACAAGTATTGACAAAGATATGGAAAAACTGGGGTGTTCCTGCATTACTGGTGGGAATGTAAAATGGTACAATTGCTGAGGAAAGCAGTTTGGTGGTTCCTCAGAAAATTAAAACGCAGCATTATCATATAACCCAGTTATCCTGATTCAAATTCCAACAATATTCTTTACTGAGATGGAAAAACCAATTACCAACTTCATATGGAAAAGAAAGATGGCCCAAATAGCCAAAGCAATATTGAAGAAGTAGGAGGATTAGCCCTCCTGATTGCAAAACATACTATGTAATTATAGTAACCCAAACAGCTTTGTACTGGTTCCAGGAAAGACACAGAGACCAATGATGAGAACTGAGAACACAGAAATAAATTCATCCGCATATGGACTGTTGATTTTTAACAAGGATTCAAACTCTATTCAATGGTGAAGAAACAGTCTCTTTAGCAAATACTGCTGACAAAACTGGATATTCACCTGCAGAAAAATGAAACAGGATCCATCCCTCACACCCTGTGGTCCCCAATCCAGTGCTAATTCTACAGCACCCCACTAGGAGTACAAGCGATTGGTTGGGACCATGCAGGACTCTATGGCTGGGATTAGTTAGTATTGCCCTCCAGCCAGGCTGAAAAAAAGCCATTTGAGAAGCAGGAACAGAGGAACCTAGAACCATCAAGAAGGAAGAGCATGAGTGGAGCACGAGATTCCTACTACCTAGAAAAGCAGCAACAGCAGAGGTGATGGCAGAGAAGCTGCGGGCTCTAGGACCATGGACTAAGTAAAGCTGAGTGCCAGTGGGCAGGAGGGCTGACTTGCAGAATGTGCCTTTGGGCTTTCACAGAATGGATAAAAGAACACTTGGCTTGTGCAGGCGCCACATGGCTGAGAGGCAGAAGCTTGACGCATGCCTGCAGTATGGCAGACAAAATGAGTTCCTAGCTAGAGAACTGCGGCATCCTGAGTTGGTTTTGATCCTGAATTGTACCCTGTTCACTTTCCTAATAAACCCCATAATTGTGTTGTTATGAGTTCTGTGTGGCCATTGTAATAGATTATTGAACCCAGCTATAAACAGAGAGTGCTGTGGAACAGATGGTTGGGATGAGAATAGGGTAATGTGCTGGATCACAATGTTACTCTGAACTACAAAGCCGGCAGTTCAAACCCATCAGCTGCTCCTTGGAAACTGTATACAGGGTCACTATGGATCAGAACCGACTCGACAGCACTTAACAACAACAACTCTTAAATAATACTTAAAAAAAAAAAAAAACAGTTTGTGAAATAGTGGTGATTGTACAACATGATAAATGTAATCAATATCACAGGATTAAATTAGTAAAAATTGTTACATTTTCAAAAGTTTTGCTATACACAAGGGGGCTTCAAACAGTTTGTGGAAAGTGGAATTAGAAGATAATGGAATTTTTTCATGAACTTTTCTAAGCCCTCTCATTTATTTCTTGGCATAGTAAATTTAAAAACAGACTGCTATTTTGAATTGCACGTTTAACCAAAGGAACAACAAATCTTTGGATATAAGAATTGATCTAGTATAAACACGGATAAAAAAAATTAGTTTAAAGAGGTATTAGATCCAAAATCTTGACAGTGATCCTGAGCTATGTTTTTTTTTTTTTTTAAGTACCTAAAAGCTATGTAGAAGTCAGAAAAAAAAAAAAAAAAGGCAGAACTAAGATGTGTACCCAGTCTTTGTGTTTTACTCAGTGGTCACATGGTTCACCATTCAGACTGGGGATGTTGTTGAGTGGAGAAGAGTCAGAAGTGCATCAGTATCAAAGGCAGAAACCAACAGCACAATAGCAGAGCTGCTCTCAGAGAGCACATGCGCACTTGGAAATACAGGCACAGACAAGAGGATCAAAGTGGCTGGGGTTGGTCAGGCTAGAAGGAGAACCAATCATCAAGAAACCATGTAAGTGACAAGCAGACAGCCGCTCTGTGTCTCTGGGGAGCTTGGAGTACTACTTAAGTAGTTCCCACACTGCTTTTGCTTCTATATTATTATTATTATCGTCATTAAGTGCTGTTGAGTCGGTTCAGACCCATAGCAACTTTGTATAGTGTTTCAGAGTAGCAGCTGGTGAGCTCGAACAGCCGACCTTGTGGTTCAAACGGACTTTGCAGTCCAGCGCCTTAATTCCAAGAATCCTGGCTTCTCAAATGCAAGGCTAAGGGAAACTTTCACTCTTCTTAAGAATGGTTCAAGCTGAGGCTATGGATCCAACAGGCTAGATAACTTGGAAATGAACCTTTTAAAGTGCAATGATTTTGCATCTATTCATCTAACAAATTCTGTTAGAAAAGTTTGACATGTTTGATGTAGTCACAGAGGTGAGTTTTTGAATTCTGACAGTGGAAGTCTAAACATCTCTTCTGAATCCCAGCCCAGGCCCTCCTGCCAAAGACTGGATCACATCTTGTAACTGACCCACAGAGGTCTGCTAGATGATAACATCAGCCTGACATGGAATCTGTTATGAATTTGTTCAAATGCTCTTCTGCTCTAAGCTACAGTGTTAAGTCAAATGGCCCAGATATGTACTTGGGACTGTTAATGGAGAGTAATCAGCTCCCTGGGGGTGAAGAGGGGGAAGTAAGGGGGGAACAGTGGCTACCTTCCAACATGGGGCAAAACGGATGCACACTCTGCTTCATAGAGGACTAATGCATGCCACAAATCCGAGGTTAAATCCCCACCGCTGGAATGTCCCTCTCCAAACTCTCTCCAGATAAGAAGGAAAGAATGTAGCTAAGAACCTTATCATTCAAAATACCTGTCCCCAGGGACCCGCCTGCCAGGACGCACATTCCGGCTGCTGACAGGGCTGCATGGAGGCCGGCTTATTCTCAGGGTCACAGATCCTATCGTTAAATCGATCCTCGCCAAACTGACACCAGACCTGGCGGTGCTTGTGCCCTTTTCCGCAGGTGACCAAGCACTGTAATAAAAAGTAAAGCCCTTCAGGGTCACTTCTGAACAAGGTGTTGCAGTTCCTGGGGGTTATTCATTGATTAGCAGGTACAGGTGTGTTCTTTTTCCCACAATAGTTCCTGTCTCCCTTAGAAATTGGTAAGTACAACAAGGCTCATTCTTCCACTTATCCTTTCATTCATTCTGCATTTATATAAGCTTTGGACCCATGTCAAGCACAGAATAAATTCAACATGACACATGGTCTAAAATATTAAGAAACATTTGTTTTCTGGCAGCGTAGTTAAGTGCAGGCAGGGATTCTGAATCAGGCTGACCTAGGTCTTAACACTAATACAAGCAGCTATGCAATACTACACAAGCCAAGTGAGCTCTCTGCTCCTCAATTTTCTCACCTGTAAAATGGGAGAAAGAAAAGTACCTCCTGCAAAGGACAGTGAAAACTTAAAAAAAAAACAACCCAAGTATGGTGCTTAGGGTCAGAACCTACTCACACTTAACATCAAAGTTGCTTAGAGATCCCTGGTGTGGTACTGCAGGATAGGCACCGGGCTGCTAACTGAAAGGTTGATGGTTCAAGCCCACCAGCCTCTCCTTGGAAACCCTATGCAGGTTGCTGTTGAGGCAGAACCCACTTGACAGCACTTAGCAACAACAAGTTGCTTAACACAGTGTCTGTAAAATGTGAAGTACATTCGCTACTAGTATCCTTGCAATTTGTAGAAACTTTTTAAATACAGAAAAACATAAAAGAGATCATTATGTTCTCAAACCTCAACTGCACAGAGTGAATCATTATCAACATTCTACTGATTTACTTCAAATTCATTTTATCTAAGAAACTTGGAACATGCTGAATTTACAAGCTGATCTCCCCCAACCACTTTATTGAGTATTCTTGCCAAGGTTTGTTCTCAATCCGTCCAGAAATCACATACAGTGACACATGCCTACTATTTCATAGGCATTTATGATATCCTTACAATGGGTGGGACAAGGGCATGAATATAGTAGCTGGAGCAGGCAAACATGTTTTCTTTCCCCACATTTCTGACTTGGCCCATAAATAAAGGGAACTTCTGTTTCCCTGGGGGTGCACAATTAACATGCTTGGCTATTAACTGAAAGAGCCTCAGTTTGAGTCCACCAAGGCATGTTTTAGGATAGAGGCCTGGTGATCTATTTCTGAAAAAATCAGCCACTGAAAGCTCATTGGAGTAGAGTTCTACTGTGACACATGTGGGGTCACCATGAGAAGGAATCAACTCGATGGCAACTGGTTTTGCTCCCTTTCTAATTGCTCACCTTTAAGGAGGGTAGTGTGAGTCACCTGGTTCATGAGCAACTCATTGAGTTATGTTAATAAAACCAAACAAAATCCACTGCCACTGAGTCCATCCTGACTCATATCAGTTCTATGGAGCATAACCGAACTGCTCCACAGCGTCTCTGAGACCGTAAATCTTTACACTAGCAGGTAGTTTCATCTCTCTTCTGCAAAGCAGCTCATGGGTTTGAGAATGAGCTTTGCAGTAAGCCCAGGGCTTAACTCACTACACCACTACCTCCTAGGGCAATGTCAATTTGTTGTTGTTGTTAAGTGCCATTGAGTTAGTTTCAGCTCATAGTGACCCCTCTATAGGCTTATGAAGAGCTGCGGGTGAGCTTGAACCACTGACCGACCTTGCAGTCCAGCACACTAACTAACAGCACCACACCAGCATGCTGATGGTGAGCGCTAAAAGCCCTGCCTTCTTTTTCTGGACTTCCTGGCCCACCTACGCCAAATCCAGGACTGGCTTGTGCTGCATCAAGTAAGTGATGAGACACACACAAATCTGGAATGTTCAGTCTCGTCCTTTGCTCTTCATTTCAAGTTTTCAACTGGCAACTGGGTGGGTAAGTCACATAGGCCATTCACTGGGATTTAATTCAGTTATTTCAAAAATGAGGAAGTTAGAAACCTTATTTTGACTTTGGATCTAGGCCAGTGAGGGTTTACAATGATCAAAGGCATGGTTTCCTTTCAGTGTGTGGTTAGGGCTCAAGGGGAGAGACTGGAACTCCATTATCACCAACAGGAGCTACTATAGCAGATGATCAATCGAAGCTCACTGTGCCTCTGAGGTCATCAGGGGATGATTGCCACCCAGGACTATGGACATGAACAGGTGGAGGACTGGAGATGCTGTTTCTTCAAGGAGAAAGGTACAGCAGATTAGCCCTGAAGAGACCAGGAGAGGCCCAGAATGAGCGTATCAGCCCTCCCTACTCACCTCTGACCAGTCTCCCAGTTTCCACTGTGGACAAAGCACTTCATTGCACCTCTGAATGGTGACTTTCTCCTGATGAATGCACTTGCTGTCATCCAGTACGTCATTTCGACTGTTGACACAGACAGCCCTTCTCCTCTGGGTTCCACCATCACAACTTTTAGAACACTGTAAGGATAAAAATTTAAATACAGCTGAAGCTGAGTTTCCTTATAACACATGTCTAAGATCCTGGCAATGCTAGCTTGTCTTTCTAGCCTGTAAGAGACAAACAGATCAACAACATTCACCAATTCTGGTTATTACTTTGGGGGTATATATCCATGGTACTGGAGTCCCTGGGTGATGCCAATGGTTAATGTGCTTGGCTGCTAACCAAAAGGTTGGAAGGTTAGACTTCAACCAGAGTTATCTGGGATGAAAAACCTGGGGATCCAGTTCTGAAAACTGAGCTATTGAAAACGCTATGAACCACACTTCTACTCTGGCACAAATGGGGTTGCTGCGAGTTGGAAATGATTCAAGAGCAACCGGTGGTTCTTGTTATCTATGTATTCACCAGGTTTATATCACACTAAATTAAGTAATTGGCAAAGAAAAATAAAGCTGGAGCTGGCTTTCAGGGCACGAAAAAAGTGATGGTTCAGAGTTGTTTCACATTCTCAATTCACCACATGCCATGCCATGCCAGACAGCACAAATCCTAGAATTCTTTTCTACAGGGCATGAATAAATCAATCAAGGCACTCTTCCATACAGACTAAACTGGGCTTCTTCGCCCAGCTCTACAAGGAGATACCATCAACTAATTAGGCTTGGAATCCAAGAGGAAGATTCTCTTTAAGGGAGAATCGACTTACTTCAGTCCACGCAGAATACCGCCAGCCGCCTGTGTTACATTCTCCTGAGCATTTCTCACGGTTGCTTGGTTTGGGGTAACTGCTGCAGAAGCTGTCATCAACCTTCTCGGTCTTGCCATCAAGCCTACTATATTTGGCGCAGTAGATGTCTACTGTGCGGTACCCCAAGCCACACTGGGCACTACATTCGCTCCTGCTGGCCACATGCCACCTATGCATAAACAATGGGGGGGGGAAACCAACACCTTGATTCAGTATACTGACAATCTAAATTTCACTGGTGATAGAGATGAGTTCTTTTTCTTTCTAAACTCAAATGCCATGGAACCCAAAGACACAACCAGTAACAATAACGTATCCATATCACGTTCATGGCTGCCCATGGACACGGAAGTCAGAGCGGTTGCCAAAGGTTATTTGTGGCTACTCTTCCGAGATAGTCAATCTGAAATTAAAGCAACCCAAGAGAAAAAGAAAAAAACAAAATACTTGAAATTCAGTAGAGAGAACAACAACAATTTTATATTTAAAAGTTCATGCAACCCAGTATTTCATAGGAGAAGCAGGATTCTTCCTTAGTAAGACAGTATTGGACACTCAGCCCAATGAATCCCCTGTATGTGGGTCTGCACATACAGAAAGAGCCAAGCGAACATTCTGTGCGTGAATAAAGAATCAAATAATTTGGATTTCACCAACTGTACGTTTCAAAAGTGCTAAACTCCGTACATTATTATCTGGGAGTAAAGACTGTTCTTTGAAGACATAGACCACATTTTATACAAGTAGATTATATCTTAAATTTAAATAGATGAATCTTCACCCCTCAAACATAGAACTGAATCCACTCCTGTGGATCAGCTTTCAGTCAAATATACAGGCCTATAATGTAAGCACTGGACTGTTACCCAAGGTCACGGTTTGAACTCTCAAGCTGCTCCGTGGAGAAAGACGAGGCTTTCTGCTCCTGCTAAGATTTTGAAAAGCCTCAGGAACCCTATATAGGGTCACTATGACTTGGAAATGACTCCACATATCTTAACAACCAAAACAAAGTAAAAAATAAGTTCAGGGAGGAATGTACCCATAAGTACCATCAACCATATGCACCAAAAGGCAGCATTTGCCAAAAAACAAAGCTCAGAAGGCAGGAAGGACCAGGAAAGGCAGATGATTGGAAAGGAGAAACCCAGTAAGTAAACAGGATGTTACATTGCCAGGATTGCAACTAATGTCACTGAACAAAACTGTAACAAAAAGTTCACAATCCACCACTCGATCAACTGATGGATCTTTGTCACCTATGTTGGCACACAGTAGGTGCTCGGCATATGATGCTAAATTGACTAGCTCTTTTAATGCCCCCAGGGACATGGCCAGTGCTTACATTAAAAATAATAATAATAACAAAATTAAGCTGCAAAGAATATTCTAAATTAAATGAGCTTGAAACACAGTTTGTTAATTAGATAAAGCAGTTCAGAAAAGGATCTTTTTTAAAATCATCTTCATTTGATTCCACATTTGATTGTTAATTCTCCACTTTCTCAGCGATTCAGTGGTTTCCTGATTGCCAAAGCTCCCAAGAATTCTCCCACCCACACCTGTGCAGAAGCAGAAATCTTTAGGAAACAAGGAGCACGGCCAAAAGTAGGTCAGAATTGATCATTTGGCAAACAAAGTGGGGTAGTGAGATTTTCTGTTAGAATGACATAGTATTTGGGGGATTTTGTTCCAACCTGGAGCATGTTAAAGGAGAGATTCTAAAACAATCCTTTATCTCATCCTGTCACAGTTTAATCAGGGCAGATTCTTACTTCCCTAAGGAAGTGAGGCAAAAATGTTGACCAATTCAACAGAAGCATCTGGAACTTTCATCTGCCCTCGGATTCTTGGCTACTTTCTCTTTGACTTCGTCATCATTTCCTTGGGTAAAGGTTATTTCCCATCCTGGATATGGGAGGCAGACACCCTGCCCCTGCATGGAAACAGACCAGCAAACTAGGCTGGAAAAGTATAGTAGCATCTCCCTGATAGCCACACAATCCCCGGATCTGCACAGGGGACCTTGAAGAGTGTAGGGAAAGGTCACACCATTTCCTTAGAAAAGTTCTTGTCAAAATATTATCATCTTAAAGGAACTGAGTTTCTGTTTGGGATGATGAAAAAGTTTTGGAAATAGATAGTGGTGATAGTTATACAACATAAATTAATGTTATTGAATTGTATGCTTAAAAGTGATTAATACAGTCAAATTTATGTTATACAGTATATATTTTACCACAATAACATAAAAAAGAATGTCACCATCTGCTTTAGATTCTGTGGAAGGTGGTGTCATGGAAAGGTGGCTTTTCCAGTGTTTCTGTGTGCATTCATCTCATTTTACATGACAAGTGCATTTTGTTACTAGGTTTCAAGAAAATATATTCCAAAGTGTTTGTTAGTAAGTGGAACCTGAAAAAGTATGTGTTAACTATGTCTTTGTGGGAGTGCATAGGGACTGGGGGATTCAGTAAGTTTGAGAACCAATGGGTTCAACAGGTTTCCATATTGCAGAACTTCTGAGAGCCTTCAAAATGTTCATTAGCATTATGAGTCTCCACATAGGGGAAAAGACAGTCTGGAAGGCTTCTCCCACTAACTAGTTTGCCATGGATCATCTCTTGGAACTAATGTTCCAAAAGATAGATTAACACTCATTTTTAACCACTTAAAACCCTTTCTGAAAAAGACAAATAACCCAATTAGAAAGTGGGCTCAGGACATGAACAGACACTTCACCAAGGAAGAGATCCGGGCAGCCAACAAACATATGAAGAAATGTTCACAATCACTAGCCATTAGAGAGATGCAAATCAGAACAACAATGAGATATCATCTCACACCAAC